AATTCACAGCTTTCTCCAAAAATTGGATGAAAATTTCAGATATTTTAATGAATGTTGGGAAAATTGAATTAAGCCATAGAAACACCACAATGCTTGAATTTTGTTTTAAATTTCAAAGATTGTAAATTTAAAATCATATTATATATTTCTATATTTGAAAAACCTTCACACTTAACCATTACTATTGCTAATTTCAATGTAAGTAGTTTCTACTCTTATTCCTTGACCCCTACATCTTTTACTTTAATCCTAATTAAATAGGAATTAATCTAATTATTAAAGCAAATAGAAAGTAATCTAATAATTTATGGATCATATTAATACAAAAGGTTACATATGGGCTTGAAGATGCTTTAAGTGATAGTCCATAGTTGTGATTATATATAATAGAGGAATATAATTACGTGTCCATTCACAAGAAATATATTTCCAGTGTTTATGCCCAGACATGGGCATCTTTGCCCAGGTTGTATCCTTCTAAAAATCTGCTAGTTAAAGATACAAATCATGTGTCTGGTATACAAAGAGTTACACATTCAGTGCCATAATTTATAAAAAGTTACATCAAGGTTGATCGTTTTCAAGCATTTTCAGTAGCAAAGTGGAATAAAGAAATTAAATGGATGAAGCTTGTTTCCATCTCTTTATTTTCAGGAAGCCACACTATTTAACTCTGAGAGGCCAGATTACTTTGAAAGAATCAAAAGCAGAACTCATAAAGCTGATGACAAATATGTAGGCAACTCCCATATATGAAATCCATTTACTGTACCTACTTTCTGTATTATAGGGATTAGAGTGGCTACATAAAGAATTCAGAGCATTATACACCTTCAACACAGATTTACATTATCCCTTTCCAGTAATGCAGACCTGTCAATTTGCACCAGATCGGAGCTTTCAGAATGCCAGAAGCAACAAGTCCCTTCACCTCAGTCATTGTTAAGTTTATTAGAAGCTTAACCTATTCTCATCTGCTAAGAAAAGAGAAGCACAGCCTGATGGGAGGGTACTTTGGATACACAGAAATTGAAAGGTTTGCTGAATCTGAGAGAAACTCCATTTGAAGACATTGGAACTTCTTTGCAGGCATGCCCAGGAAATAACCTTTTCTGGTGATCATGATGGATATTGTGCTTAATGAACAAGATGATGAATGCTCAGTCTAATAAAGCACACACAGTCTATCTGAATGCACAGGTGCACAAAGAGACAATAGCATGCAAGAGTACGCTGCCAAAGCCCAGGAGAAGATCAAAGTATAACTGATGGATAAAAGCACCAAGTCAGGACATGAACTTTCCCAATCAACAATTGTCCAAGAACAGCTACACTGCACTCCAAACTGCCTTCTAAATTTGCAACACTTTTCTCAGCAAGATTGATGAAAAGTAGCTGGTCAGAATCCAACACTTTTTGGTTATAACACAGGGATTTGGTTATAACGGCAGGGATAGATTCTTAGACATTTTCTAAGGGAAGCAACTGTGACAGCTTTTCATTCGGAGTTGCTTGTGGTCCAGAGTAAATAACATAGGAAAATCTGATTGGCATTGAAAATGAAAGTATGGTTACTGTTAGGGTTAGATCCAGTGGTGGGATTCAAATATGTGAACAACCATTTCTCTGTGTGGATGCCGCTTCCGTAAGTCTATTCTGGCCTGGGCCACAAAAAAATAGCTACCAGTTCTGCCGAAGTGGTGCGAACCGGCTGAATCCCACCACTGGTTAGATCTGCTTGAAGTCATGACAGAAATCTTATGATAGGGATCGATTCTTAGTGGTTACCTGAAGAAATTGTCAGTGATAGCTTTTATTCTGGACTTGTTTGTGATCCACAGTAAATTACATGGGAAAATCCCATTGCCAATGAAAATGAAACTAGGGTTAGGGTAAGGGTTAGGGTAAGGGTTAGGTCTATTTGAAGTCATGGCTGAAATCTAATGCTAGGGATAGTTTCTTAGCACTTTTTTAAGTAAAGGGTCAATGAAAACTTTTTGTTCGGGTTGTTTGTGGTCCAGAGTAAATTACATGGGAAAATCTCATTGGCATTGAAAATGAAACTAGGGTTAGTGTTAGTGTTAGGTCTATTGAAAGTCATGGCCGAAATCTAATGTTAGGGATAGATTCTTAGCAGTTTTCTAAGGAAAGCATCAGTGACAGATTTTCATTCAGAGTTGTTTGTGGTTCACAGTAAAATACATGGGAAAATTCCATTACCATTGAAAATGAAATAGGTTTAGAGTTAAGGATTACATAGATCTTAACATTCCAATAGCCTGTTTTCACTCTCAAGAAGCATTAAGCAGCTGATACATTCATTTGCAACATAGACCTCCATGAACTTTTAGAAACAGGATGACTATCTGCAATTGAGAAGTAGCTTCCACCAGGCGATCCTTTCACATGAACTGAAATCTTGGATTACTAAGGTCCAAGTCATGTAGAAGCTTTTACATGTGCATCAAAACTCCTTCCTACTAGAGACATCCATACGGTTGTGTAGACTACCTCCTCATAAATCTCATCAGCAGGATTTTTAGCAAATGGGGACAGGATCCTCATTGTTTTTCAGATATGAAGATGTGGCCTGAAAGGACTATGGAAAATAAATCTTTGGATTTCTTCTACTGTCCTACCTGAAATGAAACATGAGATCTTTTGCCTCTATAATATTTGCTCTGTGAATGAGCTATGACCTCTTCTAATCTCAAAACGTATCTCTTAATAACTTAATGCTTTATTATTGCTATCATTAATAAAATTCATTGTTTCCATTTGTTGTTAATACCTGTACTTTAGTTTGACCTTTGATCTTTTTTATATCACTTTGTTTTGCTCTATATTGTTCTAAGACTATGTAGTCTTCAGAAGACTACAACAAATCCATAAAAATTGAAATCAAAGAAAATGTTACCATCTGAGCCTGGGATTTGCTAGAGTAGATTAATTACATTCCTTACAATGTTTATTACCAAAACAAGTCTGAGGCATGTTTAAACATAAAATCACGAAACCCCAGAAAGACTACACAAGTATGAAACTTGAAAAGTAATTCATTATTTTTCCTTTGACTGTCAGACAGACAAGATACATAGCCCTGTATCATGTATATCCCTGTATCATGTATATTAAAATGTATTCGTACACAAAGATAAAAACACAAATAAACAAGGGAAATGGAATCTGCAATCATGAGTCCTTTAAAAACTACTGAAGATATCATCATATAGACATAGACATCATATCTAAAGTACTTTGAAACTGGAGCCTAAATATATGGTTTTGCCTTTATTCATTTTATTTTCATTCCTTATATTCTATGTTTTCCTTTACCATAGTTTCAGTCTGCATTATTTGATTGCTCACATTTGACCTATCTCTATCTTGTTATAGGATGCTACTTCTAGTAATTAATAAATTAAATAAATAAATTTAATTTGCTTATTTATTTAATTAATGTAATAATTATATTAAAAAATTAATAAATCTTCCACAGATTTTCCAAGAGGAAAGAATAGTATTTTTTATTTCCCATCAGGTGAAAAATGGAAGATACTCATCATAGTAGGAAGAAGCCGACTAACTTGTCCACATTCAGAAGCAGGGTAGATAACATTTAGAAAAGAGGTCTCCAACCTTTCTCGGTTGACAGACTGGAGGGAAAGGGAGGAGGAAGCATTTTACACTCGTGCACGTGCACACAAACAGGGCATGAGCACCCGCAATGCAAACGGGGCGGTGCGAGCACCCGTGTGACACTCACTACCACTGCCCCATTTTTGCTGCACGGGTGCTAGCACCGCCCTGGTTTTGCCACGTGGCACCGCATTTTTGCCATGCGATGCCCCGTTTGCATAGCGGCAGTACTAGTGCAAGAGGGTGTGAGTGCTCATACACACATGTGCACACTGGCCAACCTGTCCCGCAGCCCAGTAGCCAGTAGGCCACGGTCTGGTAGTGGGCTGTGGCCCACAAGTTGTGGACCCAATTTAGAAGACTACAAGTCTATAGGGTATACTGAAAACTCAAAAAGGCAGGAAGGGAAGAAAAAGAATGTAATGTCAAATCATTTTTGAGCTAGTGCCAAGAAAACCATAAGGTTATATTCATGTGGTCATCAGGCATTGGCTCAAATTCATCTTTATCTTTACGCACAAGCATAGTGAGATCTAGAAGTGAATATCTTGCAACAATGGATTAGAGATGAATGGATGAATAAGTAAAAGAAAAGTTCCCCTGAACTGAACCCAGACATATGTGTCTCTGTCACTTTCTTGTGAACAATACGTAAGCAGTTTGCTGTTGGCTGACGCTGGGATTTTTGATGAGAAAACAATGTTCTAAAAGCAAATATGGCTAGAAGTGTGTGGATCTTGATAATCACAAAAATCATATTGAGAATATAATCTGAACTAGAGCCTTATTTCAGACTGTTTTTCATATGAATAATACAGATTGGCCCTGAAGGTTTCCCCCAAGACTAGAGCTGATTGAAGGGTGGAGAGAGAAGGAAAGAATGAGGAAAAAGGGAGAAAGAGGAATTCAGTGAACTGTATGGAGAGAACAAATCTTGAAATAGTAGTGAATATCTGTAGCTCGGATATAGGATGAGGGTAAAGGTTCAGTCTCCAAGCTTGTGGTTTGGTTTTGTCACCAGGCTAAGTAACATCTTCAGGAGAGTTTAGGGATGTCAGTGTCAGTGTTCTTCTGTTTATAAGGGCTTCAGGTGTGGATGTGTCAAGTGAGGGTCTTGTAATGGGTTGGGTATGAGAACAAATCTTAGTTGAGGGGATTCAAGTATTCAGTAAGTAAGACTTCTGAGATGACATCCTGCTCACAGCCCCTTCAACACTGACAGAGCACATGAATGTAGGCTTGTTTTATTTATATGCTCCTGCATATCTTTTTATAATAGCACAGGTCACAAAACATTTATCTCACTCATTTGCTTACTTACCATATTTCACTTCACAGAAAGAATACTAGCTTTTTCTTACCCTGATGAAAAGGATTTTCTCTCCAACTCTGTATCTTCCCTGTGAAAGGCGCTCCACACAAAATTTACTAGGGCATTTACAAGGTGGGTCTTCAGAAATATGTTTGACCTAAAAAAAAGTTATAATTTCAATGTATATTCTGCATTATTCTTCCATTATTTCAGATTATATCCAGTCTCTGTCAGAGATGGAACTAATTTCCAGACTTTTCTGAATTGTAGATCCTCTGAATTTATAGTCTTCGCATTCCTACATTTCCCAAAACAGGACATTCAATAGGTGTACCCACTGAGTTACAGGACCTCTTCTTTGGATACAGATAGTTAATATACCATTACTCTGCTTTGTTCCTATTACAAGGCGAGTTAAGAATTAAGTCTCTCTCTGTGTGTCATTTTAGTCTGATGCATCCATTGGCCTTCTGGAAAGAGCTAAGAGGGCTATCAAATGGGAAGTGAATTAGAATTGTCTCATCTACTACTCTATAATCTGATTACATCATCTCCTCTTACTTTCTTGACATCTTGACTTCTTCCATAATTTTCATCTAGAACAAGAGGCCAAGTGGCATTCAAAAATGAGTAATACTTAACTTGTTGCATCCTTTCAATAGCTTCCCTTCAGATTTCTCAAACCCTGAACTTTAACTACCCCAATTTTGTTGCTAATAAGACATGAAAAATTATTTACATCTCTGCCTCTCAATCCAAAAAAATGATGTGCCATTACATTCTGTATTATTAATGTTTATAATAAACAGTATCCTTGGCCATTTGTTCAGGAATGTGGATTTAAAAAAAAAACCATGCAATTAGTTATTTTAATTCAAGTTTTTCCAGTAGAAGGTGTTCACAGAAGTTTATTAAATATTGCCTCTGGAATTATTTCAAAGTATCCTAAATCACAGTAGCTACATGGAGAGAAAGATCTTCCTGCTCATTATTTTGAGAAAGTCCTAAAAGTCCTGGGGTTCTGTTCTGTGGATGTCTCTGGTTTTATATGCTTAGTTTAAATCAGGGGTAGGCAACCTTGGCTCTTTTATGACTCATGGACTTCAACTCCCAGAATTCCTGAGCCAGCCATGGTCAGGAATTCTGGGAGTTGAAGTCCATGAGTCATAAAAGAGCCAAGGTTGCCTACCCCTGGTTTAAATGGTTAAAACTGAGTTACCACTAATTGAAATCCAAAATGTAACCTGTTCAGCCTCAAGGGTTGGGGAATACTTATGTACACATGGGAAAAGCATGTATGAGCACAATGACAACTTTATACACACTGAGACACATACATAGGTATGTATTCATAATTAATTCAAGACTCTCCTGAACATAGTGTGTTTTCACCCTCAGATGATCCAACTGGCTAGCAGACATCAGGCTGCTAGGCTTTCTGCCATTAATTTCAGGAAGAAATCATTCAGCTAATGATTTCACTCAAATGTTTCTTTTGTAATCCTGTTGGTCATCTCATGATGGGAAGCATAGCAAAGTCTTTTAAAGTGCCTTTATATCCGACCTCTGCATGTGGCTCCAAGAATAGAATTTGCCCAGCTTTGTTATATATACATCATTATCATGTTAGGCATCCATGAGAATCAGAGCTGTATATGGATGTGGTAATGTTATAGTATTAAAGTGCAGGAACTCAATTTTGACATTTAAGTACAGTATGAAGATATATTTTTTCACATAATTTTATACTTATTTTTATATCTAAGCATCAGTTAATGAAGCATTGATGCTGAGTTTTGGGGGGACATAATCCAAAAATAACTGTTTCAAAAACTAAGTAACTATGAAAACTGTGTCAGAACAAAAACTGCCAATGGTAGCTTTCCATATTGTCTAAGTATTTTGTGTTGCATATTCTTCCCGTTGATGTCCAATATAATATAATTGCATTAAATTCACAATATGTTGGGTTCTACCATTTTAGAAACCACAAGTAGGTGAAACATTGTTGAGCTGTGCTAATATTTAGTATAAGTAGAATTTCCAATGAACTGAAAGAACAGAAACTTCATAGCAAAAAAAAAGTTTTAGTTGACTAAATTCTTATCTGACATTCAAGTACTACTGCCAATAGGCACGTAGATGTATAACTTCTACATAAAACAGTGTTCCATGATGAAAATTGATCCAGTGTGTCCATGTCAAATATAGCAATGAAGGAGCATTTCATCAACATTTCATCCATTTCAGCGTAATACTCTAGAGACCTTTGTAAATCTAGTTCATAACTCAACAACGTGTAAAGGAAGATGGAGAGCAAGATAAATATGTTGCTAAAAAAATCTATTAAAGAAAGATAGTGTTTTAAACTTTCTTGCATTCTTTTTTTAAAAAAAAAAACATATGTATTTCCCAGATAATAAGAATAAAAGCAGCTTTATTGGATCAGACTAAAGGTGAGCTAATCCAGTGATCTGTTCTCAATTGCGGCCAGTCATACAATCAACCATGTAAGCAGGTCACCAAAACAAATGTTCTATTGCATATTTTATTAGTTCCATTTTAACCAGCCAGAAAATGTGCCGAGTATAAACAATGACTTCACTTTAACTAAACTTGCCCTAAACTTAACTCAACTGGAGTCTTGCTGCTATCACAGGGAGGGAGCGGGGTTTTTATCATCTTGGATTCTTCATAATTGCTTGACTCTTGTACATTTCATCTGGTTTCTTTATTTTCTTTTAGCCAAGCAAGGAAACAGTTATATAATTTTATAATGTGATGAATACATTCATCATCTGTATTCCTCCATATAGGGGGCTCCAAAATGTGAATGTATATTGTGGCAAAGGTGCCATTTTGCAGTATAAACTGAGGATTTTCTGAAAGTTAGGCACATAAATCTGATGCCCTTTCATAACATTAAAGCTAATCTTGTGTCAATTTATTTTCAAAAACTCATCTCTGTCTACAGAAAAAAAAATTCTAATATGAAGTCCGCAGATGTTTTCAAACAAGTTCATCTACAAAATAAAACTGTTGACATTAGGCCTCATTTTCTAGGAGTATTTGCTCTGAGAATAAAGAAAGGTCTTCTTTTTTTCTTTAAATGGCCTTTTTTCCATGAAAAATGGCAATGTTTTCCCTTTATTCTGTCACTGTTTTACAAGTGGCATTCCTAGCACATTAACAACACATAGATAAGATTTATTCTTGATATATAACACATTTTATATATATTTCAAGATGCTTGTAAGTGCCATTCTCCGAAAAATAGTAAATGGAAGAGAAGAAAAGATCACCTGGGAATATTTTCAGAACAGGCACTTAGGAGTGATATAAATGGGCAATAGCTATAGTAGTTCAATGCTTTGGCCCAGATTAATGATGTGTTTGGGACAGATGTGTGAGAATGTCCTGAGACATCACATAAGCTCCACCCTATTCAGTCAGACTGCAGGGCTAAGTAAATGGCTAATCAGACTGCACATCTAACCTCACACTCCAAAACTGAAAATCCACATAAGCAGCATAAAATAATACAGTAGCAACCATGGTGAAAGTGGCTGGATCTGGGAAGCAGATCAGTTAAAGTTATATACATAAAAGTAGTCCTTGACTTACAACCACAATCGAGCCCAAAATTTATGTTGCTAAGCAAGATAGTTTTGCCCCATTTTACAACCTTTCTTGCCGCAGTTGTTAAGTGAACCGTTGCGGTTGTTAAGTGAGTGACAAAGTTGTTAAGTGAATCTGGCTTCCCTATTGACTTTGCTTGACAGAGTCACAAAAGAAGATCACGTGATCCCACGATACCGCAACCGTCATATATGCGTGCCAATTGCCAAGTGTCCAGATTTTGATCACCTGAACCATGGGGACACTGCAACGAGTGGAAAGGTGAAAAATGGTCATTGGTCACTTTTTTCAGTGCTGTTTGTAACTTCAAATGGTCACTAAACAAATGGTTGCAAATCAAGGACTACCTGTATTCTACTTATGTGGAATAGGGACTTCTGCATACCAGAAAAATGTCTAGGTAACTTTATTTTTGTTTTCTTCAGTTGCTGTTCTACGAATGATAGAAACCATAAGAATCATCACTTACATTAACTCTACCTTTCTACCTGTTACTTTTTAGATAGGATGTGTTTCATTTTTATCTCCTGGAGACTGTCCGGCCATGCTAGCAGGACCAATGGGACTTACAGTGCAAATTCTTAGCAGGCAGTAAGTTGGGAAAGGCTACCTTATATTCTTTTTTTTCCCCTCATTCCTTTTTCCCCCTCCTACAAGAATAATGGCTTTTCATTGCTACTCACAAACTTCACCTCTATTCTTCTCTGACAGCCGTAGTGAGAGAGCTTGAAAAGTTAAAGACACAGGAAGGGGGAAAAGTGCTGACCCTAAGAAAGTTTGCATTTCAACAAATTATACACCAAATTCCATCTGTTCATTATAGCTCTTAAGTGGCACAGGGGCTTTCAAGGAGTGCTTAGTTAATTCCCAGGTGAGTAGCTACACATCTACCCTGCGATATAGGAGTTGCCATAGAAACAGGTTCTTTTAAAAGTGTCATCCTTACTTTCCCATTTAACTGTTCGTTCTCTAGAACATGGCTTATTGTGTGCTGCTTGTATAACAGAACACTGACCTGTGAACTGAAAAGCAAGTAATATTCTGTTAGGATAAATACCCAAATTAGCTGCATGAAGAAAAAAGTCCTAGGTTTCAAGTCTGACTTAGAGAAATGAAAAGAAACAAGAGGAAACCTTAAGACCCTGAAACCACTGCCAGGTAAATTCAAAATAGGGATCTATCATAAACTCTTAGTCATTCTTATTCAAAACTCTGCATGACCTCAGACTCTCTTCCTCTCTCCACATAAATTGCCTCTACTTCTCCACCTTCCATTTTTCAAAGCTGTTCAGCATCTCAAAAAAGTATTCCTTGTTTTTTAAATGTTCTAAATTGAACACCTGAACACCAAGCTATTAGACATCATATCCTTTAAAATCCTATTCAATGCCTCCTTAAAAGAACATTGAAGCACATTTCTTGAGATGCTAACTAATTATATTGGCCTTATATTGGAAGCCTTCATGTCTCCAGCCCATATAAACAATGAAGTCCATCACATTTGAATGCCACTAGCTGGGGGAACTACTTTATTGTTCTTGTTAACAAAGTTACTTCATTTCTTTTTTTTTTCTGCTGCCTCTCTTTTTTAAGTCTTTCACAGAACCCCCTGCTTCATTCTCTGTAAAGTACCATGCAAACCCACATTGACAGCAACAGAATAATATTGGGCTAGATAGTCCAGTGGTATTGAGGCCTGATTCAATGTCAATTAGTTAATAATATTAAATAATGAACAAAATCTTAAAAGGAAATTTTTTTCCCTGCCCAGTTGTGTTTATCTCGGTTTCTTAGTTGAGAGAGCCAGTGTTGTCTGAAGACATTTCCATGTTCATGTGGACAACATGACTATATCCTGAGGCACACAGAACACTGTTACCTTCCCACTGATATGGTACCTACAGTATTTATCTACTTGCATTATCTACTGATATAATAAATCCCTTGCTCTTTTTTTGCGTTTTAAAACACATGAAGAGGATCTCGGATGAATAGAGTAGCTAGAATCCTATTACTATGTCTCTCATCTCCAATATCTATATTTCAGCTTATTTGAAAATTGAATCTGTATATATACTGTACCTTGAATGACCAGGTTTCCGAATCTTATTGTTACGATCATTGGTAGAAATCAGCCTTTAACATCCTGTGAGAAAATATGTCTGTATTCTTCCTCTTATTCCTTATTCACTTTCTTTTATAATTTTATTGTATTGTATTTTGTTTGGTTTCCTTGTACATCGCTGAGATAGTTTGGAATTGGGCAATGCCTCCATTCCATTCTATTCTATTAGTATGGAGTCAGTAACAAATAAGGCTCAAAAAGGTATAACAAAATAAGGCTCTAAGAGGTATAACAAAACAAACTTACTGCATCATCCAGGATTTTTCCGGTGCTCTTTTTGCCAGGTGACTTTGTTGGGGAAGGGGAAGGAGAAGGAAGAGGAGTTGAAAACGTCTCTTCTTGTTCAATCTCTTTCTCCAGCTTTATCAATCCAGAAGGCTCTACGCCAAACCTTTTAAAAGGATAGATTGAACCCTGGATTTATAAATCAGTTACATCATATTTTCATCAGTTGCTGAAAATTGTGAAAAACCAAACTTCTAATAATCACATTAGAAATTCTTGCTTAAAATAAATCCTGAGACCTGTATTAGTTATGAGGGTAGGCCTGAGGAAAAGCAACTACTGTATTGGTATTAACACAATCTTACATGCTATATCAACATTACCATTTAATTTTGCACAGCATTATATTTTATTTCTACAGCCCTGAATTGACTGACATAGAGCTTCTGAATTGTCATTCTTCATAGAGGTCTCTTCCAGACAATTGTTTCGCTCCATCCTTAGAGGTGAGCCCTTTCCCTATGACCCCCACAATGCTCTCACTGGTTGCATGTGAACATGACATAAAGTCAGGTAAATATCAGCTTGACTAGCTGATCAATAGAAAAAAAGCAGTTTGCACCAGCAAATGTCACTACTGATTATTCCAGTTTCCAAATTATTTGAAATGGTCAGAACACTTTGAATAATTCAAGTAAATTGAAATAAGAAATATGTGTGGTTTTAATGACTGGGCATCTGGACGTACCCTTGGTCAAAAGGCACAACTTAATACATTGCAGCATTTATTGCATAACTTGGCTTGTTTCATTATACAAAGCAATTGGGCATGCTCCTATTCTTTCTGGGATTAAGGTGCAATTCATAGCCTTAAGAAGATTTTCTCCTTTCTGATTTTCCAGAAATATTGAGGCTCAGAATTACTAGCCATTATGCAGGAGCAGGAAAGATGACAGTGACCTATTGGAAAAGACAGTGAGAAATTTTTTCTAATTTGTAGAGAATTCAGTGCTCTTTGTTATGCAGTGCAGATCCAAGTCAAATTTACCTCATTGGATTTTCTTTTTCTAATTTCATATCCCAGATTTTTAATAATGTATCTAGTACGGACACGCAGATACTGAGAGGCTGTAAATTATTCTGTTCTCACTGGACCCTGTCTATTCACTTACTCATCAGATATAGCTTCTGTGCTCTTCAAGTGAATACAAATTCATTTTCTCTTCCACTTCAACATCTTATAATACAATATATCCTATTTAATGGCTTAAGAGTGTTTTCCTCCAGCTTAGTTGTTACCTTTATTTTGTTCCAGTCCCTTATATTAAATGGTACTATATCTACATATGCTTATATCTTGATATACAATAAATGAAGATTAAACTGATATGGAAATTTTTATTTATTCAACTCTGCTTAATCAATTCTTTCTTCTTGTAATTTATTATTTTTTTAATATGGTGGGATTAGAAACTGTATTCACTTGAAAGTAATGCCAGCAAAGTATAAACTCCTTTATATACTAACCTTTAGTGGAAAGGACAAATGGACAAGATTGAGCCTATGGGCCTGCCCAAGAGAGATGCAACTTAACTTTCAGTGATAGCAAAGATCAGAATAGTTAAAGATACAGATTTTTCAATGGGAGAATGCGTACAAATTCCTTCTAATTAGATTTGGAGACAATATTATGCACTCTTAAGAACTAATCAATCAGTCCTCAAAGAAATTAAGATTTACTGCCTGATTGAAAGCAAGTAGAAACTCACATATTTTGATCACGGGATACAAACAGATGACGGATTACAAACAATTATTATATTTGCCAAGATGGGAGAGTATAGAATAAAATTGATAGGCAGGATGAGGGATATTTCTCTGGAAGAGTTCTAGATTGTCAGATAAATGTCAAGACACAAGTCATGTGTCCATACATCACCAGGAATCAGGTCCAATTCAGTAGTAATTAACTATAAATTCTGGATCTTGCAAGCCTAATGGACTTGGAAGGAAAGTGTGTGAGTAGGGGGAGTTTCTCACTTCAGATCCTTCTTCTGAGAACTAATAGAGTACTACCCTCTATGGATCTAAGAGACATCTTTGGATTCTTTTTCCTCCCTTTTGAGTTCCCTGCAAATGCCATATGGTGGAAGTATCCCATTCTATAAGAGGGTGGAATGGGATGCCTCCATTTTGTTTGGAATTCCATGTTCTCTATATGAGAGAAATATTACATAAAATACCTTTAGTGAAAAGGGTAGGGAACACAACTTTATTTCATCATGGGGATGATGGCCACAAACAGAAATACAGCTTTTGCCCACACCTGACTTTCTCAGTCAGGCCTGGCAGCTTTAATATAGCAGTTTTTAAATGTAAAAAGAAATCATTTTAGTGCAATGGGTTTATGTAGCCATCTTACCATATCTACGTTTTACTGAACTTTATATATTTAGACTGAGATTAGCCCTGGTTGGATAGACCATCATTCATGATTTATCTTGGCAAACATAGGTTTTGGCTTCCTCACAGCATTATTTTTTGGTCTGTTTGCATTTCTATTGTTGGTTATTATCTGCTGTTGTTACTGTCACATATTTTCACTTGAAGTATTAAAAGCAATGGGGGTGGCCCCCTTTCCCCCTCAGCATATTGATGGCACTTCCAGGCTTCAGCCTCCCATGGGAGCTGGCAAGCCTACAAACTCTTATATCAAAGGTTGGGCATTTGTTGAGGTAATGGTGTGAACTCTTATTACTTCCTTATCCATTCTGGAATAATGTAGCCATCCATGATGCAACATTTGAAATTTTTGCTCTGTGTTCTTTCAAACTTTGGAAACATTAACAAATCAAGTTGGGTTTATTTATATCTTACTTTCCATTCCCACTGCTTCCACTCCTATTTCCCAGATTTTTGCTGCTAGCACTGTAACAAAATTTCTTTTTAATCTGAGGCTAACTACCTCAACACAAAAGAAGTAAAAAGTCATCTCAACTCGTTATTTTACTTGTGCTGGGGTAGACTGAAAAAAACACAGTTCATATGAGAAAGAGGATCATGATGATGATGCAAAGATATATGGATCATATTACTGTTTACAATAATGACCCAAGGCAAAAAGATCCCAATTATTGAAACAAATACTCTGACTTGAACACACCAAATAATCTATGTAATAGAGAAATCAGTCCTCTATTACGGATTTGTTTTCAGGGTGGTTTCCCCCCCCCCAACATTTTGAAGATGACATACAAGCTCTATCACTTTTTTTTTTCAATAAACCTTGACTGTTTTGTTTGAACAACTGCCCCCAATATGCTCCATGTGTAGTAATAGTTGGACCTTTGCCTTGACCCAGACTAGTATAAATGTTAGTTTGACAGTGCACTGAACCACTAATTTTCTCCATTTCTGCTGCTGCCAAGGGTGACATTCTAGCTCATTCTTTAAATAAGTTCACCTACCTGGCTGCAATCCTTCCAAGCTCAAGCAAACAAAGGCACACTTCTCTGGGCTGCTTGTGGAGGACTGTAAAAGCAAATTGGAGACAAAAAGTGTTTACGGAGAAGGCATTTGAAGCACTGAATGATACTTGCTTGTACTATGTTGAATCCTAAACTACAGGATTGAATGGCTGACACAGATAAATAAAAGCAAGGCTACAACAGTTTATTGAAAAATTTAAAATCTGGATGGCACATGCTGTCTTAGAAGAAGACAACTCTTGTAAGATGACATCTGATGTGAAACATGCAGGCTTCATTAAAGGTATAGAAATTAATAGAGTTTAGGAACTGAGGGACCTCTTTTCCTCAGTATATTGATCTAAATTGATTCATTAATGAATAAGTCATTTTTTCCTTCCAGAGTGGCAGCCTTAAATTAAGATTCTTTTATTTTAAATAAACAAAGGATTATAGAATAATTTTCAAAAGGTGCTAATGGGTTTAGTGATTTCTATAATGGGATCAACAAAATTTTATGTATGTAGGTTTCTTTTAAAAAAAAATTATACATCACAAACATACACTGGTCACTCTTTGAAACATACTGTACATTAAACAGGTCACAAGTAGTAAGATATTTACATAAATAAAGGAGGGAATTCGCAGAATAGAAATGCATACTTATTGTTTTGCATTTTGTAGAACTAGAATTACTGTTTCTATCTATGAAATGCCAGATTTTTTAGAAGTTAAATTACATTATTCTTATCCTCCTTATTATTATCTTCTTATGGCTTTGACAAAACATCAGGGACAATTGTAGTTACAAATAAAAATGCACTAAAGATGCATGTTATACAGGTATATTCATGAACATAATTACTTTCAGATGTATTTGCTCTTGGGTACACTATCAAAAAAAATCTGTACGATTCGCAGCAACAATTTTAGCTTGGTATATACAAAAATTAAGGATGTGCTATAAAAATATATAGTTTTGTACACTATGTAGAAAGTAGGATAATTAAAGGTAATAAATAATCCGGAAACCCAGTAAGGTTAATTAGGTCATGTCAATTAATGAAGACAAATGTAAATTAATTGTTAAGTTAGGAAACAGAAGATTGTTCATTACTAAGAAACTTCATTTAAAACACAACCAGCAAGGAAGAGTTTGCCTTCAGCTACAATGAGATATTCACTTTTTGCCTGAAATCTAGTGTGCAAAACTGGGTATTTTTAAATCCTTATTGAGAATTTCATTTGAAAGCCTTCCTTCATCTGATATACAATAGAAATGTTATTAACTTTTCTGAATATTGTTCACTTAGTTTCATGTGCTGAATTCTTTCTTCTGTCCAGTTTCCAACACTAATTAAAATCATCATGATCAATATGTTCTACTGACATTAGGCTGGAAAAAAAACATTGCAGACAGTCTATATCAGTTGCGGATGATTGAGTTTCTTAACTTTAAAGTAGCATTTTTATGAAATAACATAAATAAAAATGTACAGTAAATAAATCACAGTAAAAAACACAAAATTGTGAATAGTTCAAGCAAACTTTGTGAAAGACACGGACAGAATAAAAAAAAAGACTTATTCTGATGCAACTGTGAAGGAGAAGAATTAGTTAATTCATTTGCTGCTTTGGATAGCCGCCCTCTCAAAACAACTCAGACTGTCATGTTCCAAATTGCATTTTCAAAAATTACATTAAACATTTTAATTACATTAAAAATGTAATGCCAAAGCAAAAGATTTAGATTAATCAATCAATTTGGTCACCCAGTAAGAAATGGAATACACATCTACTCAGAAATGAGTTTCACCCTAGGTAGAACTTCCAAATGATATAATTTGAACCTTTGGACAGCAATACAATGAAGGAAACAACTGACAATTGAGAAAATGTCATCGCATCCTAATGATAAATGCACACCACACCCTTACAAATTTATAAGCCACCAACAGTGCATGCACTGTTGGCAAACGTGACCGTGTGTTTATTATTTGCAATTCTTATTTTTATTTTACAGTGCATTTTTAACCTCAGGTCTAGGATAAGGCGGCATGCAAAGTGGAATAACTAAGTAAGTGAATCTAGGCTCATTAGATTCAGTGTCACTCCCACAGGATAATTGCTGTATCAGTTTTTTAGTGGACCATCACATATGACTGGAAGTCATAATAGGTTGGAAAGAAATCACAGTTGCAAAAAACTGATAACTTATGATGTAGTTTTTATTCCAATGTTGTAAAGCTGAAAATGATACATCATAAGGGGGTGGCTTACTGGGTGGCTTTTTATTGTATTTGCAGATTGCAAATGAGGACCAGGTCCACTTATGTGGCAAAGGTCCTGCTGTGTGTTGCATCAAAATGAGTCAGAATCAATCACATTATGTATGCAATAGGTATGCATAAGTGTCACAAGAACTAGTGATGGAAGAAAAAAATATTGTAAAGCACTCCAAAAATAAATCACATTTATTAGCATGCTTAGCATAGCTAAAAAGCAAACCCTTTTCTTGCTCAGTAGATTCCTTGAAGAAAAAGGTGAAGGTTCATTGCCTCCAAATCCTATAACCATTAAACAACATAGGAAAGTCACACGTACTTGAAAATAGAGCATTGCATGTTTACACAGCAAGTACACACAGAACCATTGATTGTCAGTTAAAAAATACAATTGTATTTAACAAGAGCTTTTGGCAGTAGGTAGCAACCACCCACACAATACTCAGATTCCTCGTAGTTTGCAAAAAGAAAAAAAACCCAGTTTGAACCATAAAGAATAAGTGATGTATAAGAAATCAAGCTCTCTTTTTTTTGCTTTGCTTTTGCTTTGTTTTCTTGCACAACAATAACCAAGTTTTGCAATATTACAAAGTGGGAGTTCTGTAGGCTGATCTCTGATCCCCTATCCCCCATGTCAACAGGATTGATGATGAATGGGAAAAGATAGGGCATTTAAAACCAAACAACAATTGGCTACAAGGTAAAACTTTTCTAAGTTTTAGATCTGTAATAAAATATGTTCGACTCTGTTGTGTAAGAAGTGCCAACAGCAATTGAAAAAAAGGTTAGTGGTGTTTTGCAGACTGTTCCTCTTTGGTTTCCTTCATGACTACTTCTTAATCCCACTGATTACAATCCTTTCCTTGTCTAATGCATCATTCCTTTGCCTTTAAGGAAATGCCAGCAACTTGGTTCTTTGTTATACCTGTCAGATATTCAGTAGAAGAATTCTCATAATTTGTCAACAATTATGAGAGCTGGACCTAATGGAAAATGACTATATATCTAAAGAGACGGAATGCCCTATCACCACATTTAATCTATACATTTCATCTATCAAAGCATTTCAATCAGATCACCTAAGCTTCTGAAGACTACATAGGCAGCAGACACTTCTATTATAAAGAACAAATACTAGAGTAAAGCCCACACTGTGTAACAGCCAAAATATACCCCACATCAGTGGCTTTGAAATTATATGTTTTATATATGGATTTGATTTAATTTCATTTACTGCACAGCACATAGACAAATACAGCTACAGTGATATAATCTTCAGATTATTTTGAATAGGAACACATGGAATATATTCTACTGGGCAAGTGTCAATGTAACGCTGCCAGAGAAAAAGATAGGTGTCTCTCTGGAGTTAGTTTATGAAATAGAAAAAGAAAAACAATTGATGCAATTGCTTCCTACCCATTTAATTTTCTAAAGAAAGCTGCAACGTATGTGTGAAATAAACCTATAATCTTTCTCAGGTCTGTCATAGTGAAAGCCCAATGGCATGTTTTAACAAAGTGTTACACACAGAGGCAGACACACATATGGGGGGGGGGATGGAGGAAGTGTGTGTGTGTGTGTGCGCGCGCGCATGAGGTTGGAATCCAAAACTTGTGATTAGTTCCTTACTTCCTTCATTCTTCCCAAGATATCTCTGGAACTCACTTCAACCTTGCCTCAAGGTGCAATTCAAATTAAAATCAAACCAAATCAAACCAAACCAAACCATATATTTGCACATTCTGGATACAAGGGAAGAAGGGGGAATGTTCCTAGTTCCTCTCTGACCCCCACCTAACAACAAACTTTCTTGTGTGACCTGATAGTAATGTCATTTACAAACCCAAATAATGCCTCTAAGAATGAGTTGGCCAGAAAAACAAACTTTTGATGCAAACAATCTGAAAAGAAACAATTTGGAAAACAAGTGCAGGGCCCTGATTATTTAAACAATTCTACAATCTGCAATGAGATTATTTTAGTTGCATCTTTGGTCACAAAAGATCTTTTAAATAAAGTAATTTGTCTAATTGAAAGGATATGTGGCCAAACAGATCACATTCTATAAAAGTAACAGGCTGTGATCTGAACCAGCCACTCTGACTTAAGCAATTACAACAACTGCTTTTAATTTCTATGCATATGGCACATAAGGTAGAACCTGTCATAATTTCCTACCCCCGCATGAGTTACATTCACTTCATTTGAGTAGTGTTATGTGTGTTGTAGCATGTGTTATGACAGGAAAAGCACAACATACTTTCTAAATTGGGTCTGGCTAATATAAAGGTACAAAGATGTCAATCATAAGACAAAAGGGCCTTTTATACCTCTCTGTTCAGGCTTCACCTTAAATGGTGTATCAATGCACGTTAAGTAATCTCAACTTCTCAGCCCTTTTTTCTCTCTCCCTGAAATAAGCAGAATTATCCATAATTTCAATAAAACAAGCAAGAAGCCCATATTCAGAATCTATTATTTATCCCAAGGGGGGAATTAAGAAGCCAAGATGAGCAACAATGAGATATTAACATAAAACAGGCCAATGCCTTTTTTAAATTAAATTCGGACAGGACTGTTATAGTCATATTTGTTGCATGACCTTCTGCTTTGCAAGTACTTAACTGATGGAATGTGTGAATCTGCTTCTCTAATAATTGAGGCATACATTGAATATCATTCTCAGACAAGATAAGATAAGATAACCTTTATTGTAATTTTTTAATGTGGGCACAATGACACACATTAAAAATGAAATTTAGTTGCCCGCTCTCAA